ATCCGTGATAAGATAAACCGTGCCGAGATAAGATAAGATCGTCGAAGATAAGATGAAAAAGTGGCCGAACTATGACAAGCAAGTGAAACTTGGTGATTAGATCGCAGACTGTAAGCTCATTAACACACAGAACCTAGCTAAACTCAAAAGGGAGCAAATCTCGACTGCAGCGAGGCCATAATTTTGGGATACCAACAGGAGATGCAAGTGGCAGTGTCCATTAGTAGGCTATGACTTGAACAGTGAGGCAGGTAGACTGCCAATACTGGCTAGAGCACAAACCCAACTCAGGGCCAGATGCGACTTGGAGCAGGACAGAGGATCTCTGGAGAGATCGAGCCTTGGGAAGTTCCGCATCAGTTCAGTGACAACCAAAAGGAGAGGGATTTGCCAATCCAATTTGGGGAGTATACCAATGATTGATGAGAGCAGAGGCAGATCCAGCAAAAACTGCTGCCACCAAGGACTGCAGTTTGTGTCCCAATTCTCTTGCTGAGTTGGCTGGGCTCCCAGACTGTCCAATTCGGTTATGTATGCCTCAACGTTGAGTTGGTCTTCAACTTTGCAAATCTCAAATCAGGTGACCAATGCACAAGCTCTGAGATCAATGACCAGCCCTTCGAGTGGCACAGGTAGGGAAACACAGAGCGTTTTCCAACAGGCCCTTGGAACACGCTCTGAATTCAGATCATGCCTTGGAAAGGAAGTGTGAAATAGGGCATACAGTGTGCTTTGCAAGACATTGCCCAAGTCCCGCCATCCATTTGATGTCTGGTCTTTTGCACACTTGTTAAGAGAGAGCAATTGGGTGAAGCCTTGACTCATTTGACGGTTGCATAAGTGTTTTATCAGAGACAAGTACACTGGAGATCTGGAACTCCTGCATGAGAGCGATTCAGCTGAAACTAACCTGAGCTGAAGCTTGCAGCTCCCTAAGAACTGACATTTGGAGAAAAGTAAGCATTGCGCAAGCAGCAAAGAACTCCATGCAAGCCATAACACGACCTGACTAAATCACCTGGATGCCATCAGGGGTTTCTTGGGCCTGCTTGTCAAGGACCATCCTAAAAACTGACAGAAATCAGCAGATGTCCAGGCAAGTGCTGGGATCTATCTCAGCCATGGTCCCTCTTGGTGTATTGGATGGTGACCACAGAAAGAAAGTCTGAAAGACTCTCAGATGTGTCTTACCTTGATCAGTGCTGCTCAACACCACTGATGATGTCACTTGCACTGCCGTGAGCAGTAATGGGTGTTAGAAACCCACAAGGGAAGTCATATACATGGCAGACAGAAAGTTGATCACAGAGAGAACACAGTCAAGCAAGTTTGGGACACAGTTCACAGCTCCCAGTTTCAATTGTACAACAGTTGAGATTCAGATGAGCATATTGATGATGCTTAGCATGATCTCAGATTGCTCAGGTTTGAGGTGGTCTGCAGCCTGAAACACAAAGTTTGACAGGGTTTAATCTGCTAGGAGCCATAATCCAAGCAAGAGCCGATGTAGAATTCAAAACAGCAAGACTGGAAGCTGAGGATTTTGTAGGAAGACATAAGGCTGGAAGGTGCAGCCCCTTCAGTCATGCAGAAGCTCATGGTGCCATTGTCTCTACTATCCCAATCCGCACGTGTCCCTATTTGGTCCGAAGCGGAAGTTTCTCGCTGTGATTCAATGTTAAGTTTCACGTTGGAGGTGAAACTTCAGCCTCAGATCTAAATTTTCTTGAGGGACAGGGATGATAGATGTGGGCGACAGCTAGGAACCAAACTGATGCGTGAAAGAATCAAAACTCGTCGCAGGGGACAGCAAATAGTTGAGAGCAAACCCACGGCTCTGACCTAGTGGTCGTCCGTGAAGACCAAGGGTCGGAGACGTGACCGCGTTGGTTAGAAGAGCCGGAACACCGATGTAATTATGTAACCGTCACGGTACATTTCTCCGAGTTCCATGTTTGTAACCTGATTCTGGAGGTCCACTGCTGGCTGTTCGGCATGGTAGCTCCGAACTGACCGTCGTATCCAATCTCGCGTCCATATGTTCGTTGCCCTTGCAGTGAAAGCCTTATCACAGCGCGAGCTCGCGTGATTAGCCGGTGCAGCTAACGAAGAGATGGCACCTCCAAATGATCTTGTGTGGAACAGCTACCTAGCCTGGTAAACAGGACCTTCTTTCTCAACCACAGGCTCTCTATGGACCGATATCAAATTGCCTTTCGCGAGCCAACCCACCGTGTCCTTGATTTGCTCTGCTGTATCCTTCAATGCTCGCGCTATCCTCTGCCTTGTGTGCACATCGGCCCTGAGTTCGGCCACTGTTACAACACAGCAACATCTCGCTTCATCGTGCTCTTATTGCTCTCGACCCCTCGGCAGAAATATATCTGCCGGTGCCCATATGTTCAATGTCTCCGGTCTTGTTCGGAGCATGCATGTTACCATGTCGGCGAATATCGGAATCCTCCATCTGAATATTCAGCTTCCATTTAGGATGAATTGAGACGCAGGGCACCGGGCGTCAAATACATGGGAGAGGGCCTTCTATTGGTATCCACGGTTTACTGTACATGCGTATATTGCAACTTGCTGCGTGCGGAATGAAGAACGTTGTGAGCTGGGACTAAGCAGACATGACACCTCGTGCTACCAAAAGCGGATTTTTTGTCATCACAGATAGACTGCACCGCCCAAACCCATCGATTTACCTTTAGCCATCGTCCAGGGTGGTGAGAGGTCGCATTTCCCCCTCTCCACTCTCATTTTCTTCCAAAAAATCCGTACGCCCATCTTGTGCCCAACCGCTCGGCCACGTTCCTACCGACCCACGTCCATCAACAAACCTAAAACAGCACGCTCCCCTCTGTTTTCGGGACCCCTCGAAATCGCCCCACGACCCCCTTCGAGACGACCGGCACTCGTTTTTTCACCTGCGAGCTTTGAAGCAGAGTAGTTATTGGCATGGCAGAGGTCATTCAAGACATCGATTTGGACTCGGTCATTGACCGACTGTTGGAGGGTGAGCTGGCACCATCTTTCGCTACACTCCCCATCTCGAGTTCGCTTCCCCCATCTGCGCACATCATCTTCGCTCCGAGCTGGCTCTGGTTGCCGGTGCCATGGCTTGCCACAGGGCTCTAGACAGCCGGCCCGTGCTCCAATGGTCTCCCGAGCCGGGTCGAGTCTGCGGTTTTCGACCTCCGACCACCACACTGTGCTGACCGACGTTTTTCCAGTTCGCGGCAACCGTCCCGGCAAGCCTGTGCAGCTTCAAGAATACGAAATCAAATATCTCTGCTCGAAAGCGCGAGAAATTTTCATTCACCAGCCCATTCTCTTGGAGCTTGAGGCTCCAATTAAGATTTGTGGTATGTCCTTCCCTCTCTCGCCGTCGGAAGAAAATCATAACCCTCGTAGGCGACATACATGGTCAATACTATGATCTTTTGCGGCTTTTCGAGTACGGCGGATTCCCCCCGGAAGCCAACTACCTCTTCCTGGGTGATTACGTGGACCGAGGAAAGCAGTCACTCGAAACCATCTGTCTGCTCCTCGCCTACAAGATCAAGTACCCGGAAAACTTCTTCATTTTACGAGGAAACCACGAGTGCGCGAGTATCAACAGAATATACGGGTTTTACGACGAATGTGCGTACTCTGGGTACTCTGCGGCAATCTTTACCCATACTTCGGCAGGCAAACGTCGGTATAATATCAAGCTATGGAAGACGTTCACGGACTGCTTCAACTGCTTGCCCATCGCTGCGATCATCGACGAGAAGATTTTCACAATGCACGGTGGATTGAGTCCCGACTTGCAGTCCATGGAGCAGATAAGGAGGGTCATGAGGCCGACGGATGTGCCTGATACTGGTGCGTCAACCGCATGGTTCCTCCGGCCGTTTCTCTGATGAGGAGCGCAGGCCTCCTCTGCGATCTGTTGTGGTCCGACCCTGACAAGGATATCACTGGTTGGTCAGAGAACGACCGAGGTGTATCCTTCACATTTGGGCCTGACGTCGTGTCACGTTTCTTACAAAAGCATGACATGGATCTAATCTGTAGAGCTCATCAGGTTCGTCAACGAGTAGACTTCCCTCTTTTACTTTGCCGGACTGACCGGCTTCGAAAGGTCGTCGAAGATGGCTACGAGTTCTTTGCCAAGAGGCACTTGGTTACCTTGTTTTCGGCGCCCAATTACTGTGGAGAGTTCGACAATGCGGGAGCTATGATGAGTGTGGATGAGACACTGCTATGCTCGTTCCAGGTGTGTGGCCTGTTGTGTCTTCGGTGCCACGAGTTTAACGCGGCTGCACGATGAGATCCTCAAACCTGCAGAGAAGAAGGCCAAATATCCCTACGGCGGCATTAACGTTGGACGGCCTGTAACCCCTCCGCGTAAGCAGAAGAAGGGCGCGAAGACGGGTTAGGAGGTGCAATGCACCTGCTTTCGGCGTGGTTCTTGGGTGCAGCGCATTCATATCAACAGTACAAGCCCTACTTGCCGCCAATCACGCTGACCTGCCTTTCACCTGATTTCACTTCTTCGTCGTCATTCTCTCGGTTCTTTGCTTTCCTCTCCTCTGGTTGCGTCGGTGACATCGTATGTTGTTGTGGGCGGGTAATTTGGCGCCAGGGCTTGTTTGTGGTTCGCACTTCCATTCTCATTTTTGCTTGGTATCGTCGCACACTTGACTGCATTAACGCAGCCCTGTATTCCCCATTTCCCCCTGCGCTGTAGCATCAATCCAGAACAGACAGACTCGCATACTCGACATCACCTTATCCGTACTACTGCAACTAAGTCGTCACCTCCACGCTACCTATGATCAATCACCTACGCTCCAAGTTATTATCGTCTTATTGTACACTTGTAGTTTTCAATCATTTCTCGTCCTCTTGTCCATAGATGCCCCCTGGCTTTGCCTAGGTCCTAGAGCAATAAGTTACCATCATTCTCCGGTCCGGAGTTGCCGTCGTAGCCGATGTCACTCTCCTGTCTTCTCTTTTCCCTAGGACGTTGCACGAATTCCTGATATGCGTCAGACATAATCACTCACTTCACAATCGTTGTTTCGAGGCTGTCGGACTCAGCGCAGGAGGTCTTCGTGTCATCTTCGACGCCGAGGTGATCTTTCCGCCGTGCCCTCGATGCTGCGAGTTGATGGCATGCAGGAGTACCAACAGCTGAGAGTGCTGTAGTCTGTAGAGGTTGAGTGAAATCCAATTTGCACCCATGCTTTTGTCTAGAGCATGGCGGAAGGGCCTCAACCCTGGCCTGAGCTACCGCCCGTCGCGTCCCGTGTGCCTGCATCCTTTCTCTACCACACCGATCCCAGACCACGACGCAGGCAAAGAACGCAGAAATCCTATCCTTGTCGACCCGCCTCCCCCAGGCCTACATTCTACGTGAGCTGTTTCTCGTTGTTTATAAGGTAACCGACATCGCATGTTGACTCGATGCTAGTGCGTCGCAGCATTTGCGTCCTCACATTGACCCGTTCGTTCAACACGGCCTGGACGTGGAGTCTGACCCGTGCGATTCCTTCCGCTCAATTGCATGACAGCGCAGACTGACTATCAGCATATTTTGTCGCGTGTAGGGATGCGCTGACGGAACTTTTGTATGCGTCTTTTCTCCGATTGTCAGCGAGTTCAGGCCGAACTTCATCTACTAGGGATCTCAATTTCCAACCCATTCCGTCGCCAGCACCCGTGCCCCATTTCACGTCTGTTTTTTCAGCTCACGCTCATGAACTCCGGGTTTAACTTGCCCACAGATCGAGCGCCGAGATACCTGTAATGCCACAAGTCAGTAAGGATGAACGGAACGGACTGGATACATTTGACTTCTCATGTGAGGGGATGATGCATTCAACTTGATCCTCCATGTGTATTGATCTGCGCTTCAAGCACGCCACGCAGCGCGATTAGAGGACCATCCTCAAGTCCCGGATGCGTCTACCAAGCAGGAGAACGCCGTCAAACTATCTGCGTATTCGAAGGACGAGCACCTTCATCCTTCGTCGTTCCACTCGTTCGAGCAACCACAGCGTCGCTACAGGTCCGAAAGACCCTCATCAGAGCCCGTGTTGCAACGGCCTCAACGACGACTTGTTTATCTGAAACCCAATGTCCGTGATTTGTTTCCGCTACCTGTCCGAATTCACAATCACGCATAGTCAAACCTGCTTGGCCAAGAAAGAAAAGTATTGGAGACTTTCCTCACGAAGGCGGACGGTGTTGAAGGCTGGCACGAATACGACGAGAATCCGGGGGCCTCGAAATACTTTGCTGTCCTTTTTCGCGAGAGTAGAGACGCTAAGAGAGCACTGTTTCATTGGAAATGGCTGAATAAGAGACAAGCACTGGGGAAAGCTCAAGCAGGAGGACGTTCACTGTTCCTTTCGGTGTGTGAAACCACATGTTTTGCTTCCTGATTTTGACTGCTTTTATAGCACACCCCGCGAGCCGTCACCGCACATCATCTTCTTACATCGGCAGTGGGTTTGAATTCCACGGCACTTGGCTTGGAGATAGAATACGGGACAGAGCGTGACGCACTGTCTGCTTATAACCGAAGGTGACTGTTGCAATATCCCTGTGAGGAGGATACTCACCCATATGACTTCAGAGGCTCACTCCCCGTTGATTTTCTGGGTGCCCTGCAGTCCAGACAGATTAGCAAATCGTCGGCTCTGCAGACACCTGTATCACGCATGGACGCTTCGATCATCGCTCTACTTCGGTTGCAGGCTGCGTCCTCTCAGTCATTGATTCCCTCGACGCTAGGGAACATAGACGAATTGTCGGATGACGCCTTGCTGGACACGTTGTTTAAACTCGTGCTCGACGCAGACCCAGACTATATGCCACTGGACACGGATACTGTCAGGGAACTCGGGATCTTGGCTGCAAAGAGATCTGTTATCCCAGTCACAGTGACTGCCGTGCGGACCGTATTCTGGAAAGCACCCGATGCCAAAGAGAGCTTCGACTACCTCAAGATGATGAATGACCTCATTGAACTTCGCTGCAAGTTTGTCTCCGACGATCCGGAGGAATGGCTTTCGAGCGTCTACCGCCAAGGCTTCTGTCAAGGGATCGAACTTTCCCGCCCAAAGCCGTCAGGGACTACCGACACCACTCAACTCTTCAAGACCCTGTTCGCATCCCAACATCCGGTAGGGGATCCCGACTCGGAGGATCTCGCACCTAGAAGACAACCGCAACTCAGGAAAGAAAATGTCATTTTCCGGCACGCGCAGGACCTTGTCGTAACCGCAATGGCTGAGAAAGGCCGTTCGCTAAGTACAGGTTCCGGCTTGCTCCAACTACGGGGATACCTAAAGCAACGCCACGTATCGCACGACCCAACTCAGTTGGCCGTATATCTTCACGCAGCGGATCCTTCGAATGTTCATCGGATGTTCGATGTCTGTGAGCAGCTCTCCGATGACGAGCTCCACAAGGCCTGGATTACAGCTGTAATGCATTTTCTGTTTGACAGAGGGCAATATCCGGCTGTCGTATATCTGTTTCGGCTCGCCTTCAACTCATCCAAAACCCCGACGCGAGCTATCGAGATCGCACAGTCGTTCTTGGCCTTGCATCCCGAGTTTGAAGGCGATACGCTCACAAGCGAAAAGGAATGGCTTGCGCCAGAAACGGCCATCTCTCTTCTAATGCGCACGCTGATCGAGATGGATCCACAGCCAACTTCGATTTCGCAACTATTGGATGATTGTTTGGACGGAAAGATGGATAGTCCACCAATTTACTTATCCGTTTTTGAGGCTTTTGTCGATGTATTTGCAAAGGCCGGGCTGCGCACCGAGCTGGACCGGCTTATGATGCGTGGCCAAGACCTGCTCTCCAAGTCCGACTTTGACATTCTCGCCTGTCGAGTCTTTGCTGTCTCTGGCCGTATTTCGTCGGCATACGATTGCCTCGAGTCCCTGCGCAGCTCCGCATCAGGAGAGCAATTCGAGCGAGCCCTGCGCAGCATGCCCTCAAATCGGATGCTTGACATCTATCGGGCACTGATACTTCCCAAAACAACTTCGGGCAAGCAGTTTTCTAACGCCGATGTTCCGATTGCCCTTGACCTGATCGACCATCTCAAGTTGTCTGCCGTCTGGGCAAACGACCGCGAGGCTCTTTACGATCTGGTCTCGTATGGTTTCTTGCGCGCCAAAGCATATGGCATCAAGTCAGCCTTATCGAGGCACCGCCAGGGAATCCAAGTTCTTCGAGAGCCCGAACCCACTACGGATTACACGCCTGCAGCTTGCATGCCGCATATCTTGGCGTTGATTCAGGAAAAGGACTCCGATCTGGTCAAGCCGCTACAGATGTTGGATGAACACTCTGAAGAGCTTTCCATCGACGACTGGGCTGCAGTCCTTCGCGAAATGGTTTCTCTCAAATCGCTCCTCGGGGCTTTCGCTGTGGAGGAAAAGATTCTGGCAATGTGGAATCCGGCTGTACACACTGAAGCTGACTTGATGATGATCATCAACCCTTCACGAGAGCTCTGGCTCAAATCTGGACAGGCTCAGCGATTCTTGGGTGCAAAACCAGCCTTGTGAGTCTGTGTCGCACACCGTAGTTTGCGTCTCATCACGGTCTCAGAATCGAATATCTTACGACACAATCGGGTGCTTTAGGCACTCAGTTGCGAGTATGGCAGAATGCCAACGCTGCGGAGCGTACTGCTAGTGAGACATAATGAACGAGAGAAACCCAAAGCTATCTCGAACTTTCGTGTTCTCTACTATTTTGGACTGCCGGAGGTACCCTTTTTACGAATGGTCTATTGCTCGGACAAAGACATAGTAGTGACATGGGCTAATGGGCGATGACAATGGAAGGAACTTGATCAGCGGTAGCCACCACAAAGAGTGTACTCGGACAGAGCGAGCGAGAAGGAATCTGTGTCAGATGGGCGTCGGCTCCGCTTTAAGTAACGAGAGTTGCTTCGGGACCGGGTACGCCCGATAGCCTGGTCAAACTGACTTCTCGAAGGAACGCCAGCCACCGCTTAGCGCAACGGCCAGGAGAGGGCCAGAGAGGGCCAGATCCACTGGCGACCGTCGGGGATCGCAGGCTGACGCCCATCTCTGGGGTACGTTTCACTCACATGTGAACTGTGGCAACGGTCAGTCACCGATGTCACCACACAGCAGTATTCAATCCTCGACGGGCGAATCGTCTCACACTCGAGTGCTTGCTGACAAGCAGGTCATGTTTGACCAATCAGAACTCTGCTGCTCGCTGTGGCGCATACTTGCAAGATTTGGACTGGAGAGAGCGCCAACAGATGGCAGAGAACGCCCGCCCAATCAGCGCTGTGGGAGATGGCCACACTCTTCTGACGCGAGGTGCAGATCTGCACACGCATTGAGTTTGCTTGTTTTACGGACCAGGCGATCGCCAAGGAAGTCTTGTGAGCGCGAGCGCGAGGGAGCAAGAGCGGGCGACGCAGACCCGAGATGGACATTGGACACTGGACAGACACAGCACGAGGCGCGGAACAAGCTGGATGCCGGCGGGTCACATCATGGCATTGGCAGCCAGGTGCCTGGCACGCCGCGGTGGCTGTACAATGTTATTTTGACCTCGCACTCGATAGGGATGACCCTGCAGGGGCTGCCCGACATTTCTTCCCTTGTCACCTCCAGGATTCTTGCGAGCTCGGTTCCAGTCCACCGTAGAGTTTCTGTATTTTTTGTTGTGGTAAGTTACCAACTTGCGCGTTGGCCTGTCGATCTCTTCTTGATGTGATGCGTCGGACAGTGACCGGAAAGAGATCCTTCTTTCGGACTCCGGAGACTTGCTTTTGGCACTCACCGCCAACCGACGCTCCTTGCCCAACGCTCCCTCCCTCACGGGGCCCACACTCTTTCCTCCGCCATGTTTACCCCTCCTCCCTCCCCGAACCGCCCCTCCGACGTGCCACGAGCCTCGAGCGGCTACTCTCGCCAATCGACCTCGAGCGTTCCTGATTCCCCCCCACCGCCTTCAGGTGATCGCTCGCCTTTTCCTCCTCGCACCCTGTCGCAGGACAGCCTCAAGCGGCGCATCGGGAGGCGAACAAAGTGGACTGTAGTCTTGGTCCCGTTGGCGTTGGTCCTCATCACTGCTTCGACGCGATTCTTGACGCACCCGGTGGCCTTCGATATCTTCAGCGGCTCACCGACATCACCCTGGCCCAATTTACCTTGGCATGCCACGGACTGGTCTCTGCACAAGCGACATGGACAGGGACTGAACGCTCGGGACGATGCGACTACGTCTGCAGCCGCTTCGCTTAGTGGCTTGCCTGCGGGGGCTTCTGTTTCGCCGGTTGGTAGTGCTACCAGTGGTTCTTCTTCACCGGCCACGACGACGGCCATCGTAAACCAGGCGGTCCCTACGATTCCCGCGTCCCCACCAGGCCTTCCGTCTCCATTCCCTCAGGCGTACGACTCGAATCTCAGCCAAAATTTTTCGTCCCTTTCGTGTTTCAACTTCTTTTCGAATATGACGAATTCTGTTTCGTTCCGGTCCTGTCGTCCGTTTTCGCTGCTGCTGCAGAGCTCGCAGGCCTTCATCAATGTGAGTGGATTGTTTCGTGATGGACGTCAAACTGACTCTTGTTCAGGCACAGACCGACCTCAATTTGCTGAATAACATTGTCTGGGGCACATGTAGCACGACGATAGACAACGCGCAATGCTCTGAGAATATGGCCTGGTTCTCGAACCAGCTCCTGACCGCATGTGCGGCGGATCTCACGGCGGGGAACAGTATGGCTGTGAGCACCCAGATCGGTGCGTCATCAGTCGTCCTCTGCACGGGAATCGTGGACAGTGCTGACATGCAGTGCAGGTTTAAACGCGTTTGATCTCATGCGGTCGGCGGGATGTCTATCGGACCCGACAACGAACACCTACTGTTACGTTGATGCCGTCCACAACGCGAATCCATCCGACGTGTACTACTATTCAGTCCCGCTCGGCGTCTCCCTCCCCAACAACAGCATCGCCAGCTGTTCGCCCTGCACGAAGAGTCTGATGACGCTCTATTACGGTTCGCTCGAGAACACCACGCAAAGCGGGAATGGCCACTTGTCGGCCCTGAACACCGTCTATGACTCCGCAGCAAAGCTGGCTGTCCAGGACTGCGGCACCAATTTTGCCTCGCTCTTGAAGTCTGCCGGCTCTCCCATGAGATCCGTGTCTCCGTTGACTTTACTGCTCACGCAGTCTGCTCTACTGCTGCTCCTGCTGAGCTCGACGGTGCTCCTCGCGTGACATCCCACACGCGTTTTTCATGAAATTGTACTCCCTCCTTTCTCCTTCTCGCGGGGCACATCTGTGTGCTCCCCCTTGGGACTTTCTTCTAGGTTCGGCCGGTACTTACAACCCACCCTGACTGCTCGGCTCGTCGTTTACATCCTATTTATTCATTTGATCACCGTTCCCACTTGCGCTCCGCTACCCCGGATTCCAACTTTTAGTGCAACGCTCTCTACTCGCACATTCTCTCGCTACACACGCATTGTTACTTTAGCCCCACCCATAAGCATCTAGCAAACACCGAAAGAGGTCTTCCAATAGGGGATGTAACGAATCACTTTCTAGTAGTGTAAAATGTCAAGGTATTGCCCGACGGCTACGTACTAGCTCATACACTTCGTCTGAACCTCGAGGGTGATCCGGATTCACTTCATCTGACGCCTCCCCGCATTATGTTTCCGGATCAGTTCCGTACACTCGGTGGACCGTCAAAACAACTACCGGGACTTGCCGTGTCCAAGCGAGATCAAGAATCTCAGTGAGAGTCGTCGAAGCCCAAATTGGCCGCGAGCCGCATAGGTTGCAGGGTCACAGTCGGCGATGTATGTCCATTGTCAGGGTTTTGCGGCGGCTTTTTCCACTTCAAGCCCATCGAACCTATGCCACTGACAACAATCGCATTGATCCACCGTTTGTGGGAGAGTTGAGAGTCCGGGGTCGCACGAGCAAACGAGATAATAGCCAAGAGATAAAAGAAAAGGTTCAAGATCTTGCGTCAAGATCTTGGCTGACTTGTAGAGTTTCTACGAAAGAAACATTGCCTGGCCCAGAGTTGTCGCTCGCTGATAAGCTTGGTGACGAATTTGTCATCCACAGTCACTTGCGAGGACCCTGAAAATGCACCTCGTGCGTGGCTTGAGATTTGACTGGGGCACTTCCAAGACTGGAGCGAAGACGACGACCTCCTTCGGGGATTGCCGTGGACAGGATCGCTTAACTGCATTATCATCTTGTCCGAGAACCTGCGGCGACTTGCAACGGCTCCGCTAAAATCGAATATCTAAAATACTTGTCAGTCAGTCGTAAGCGTCGGGATTTTCCCATTCTCTCACATCGCCGAACGCCGTTGTCCATACAAGCTATTCATGACTCAACATAAACTTTCAGATCGGTCATTTAGATGACTTCAGCACTTGCGCTGGCCAATTGGAATAACTGAGCTCTCTGATAAGCCAACCATTAGTCAGCTAACCCGCCGCCGACAGAAACCGCAGTCTTACCTGTGTCAACTTCTGGAGTAATAATATATATCGATTACCCCTGTCTTTTTTATGCTCAAATTCGAAGGCCGAAGTTCGCGCCATTTTCCCGCTTTGTTATCACTTCGCAGTCTTCGAAGGTTCAACCAATCATCTGCTCAGGAGACAATGCGGCTTGACTCTGGGACATGCTGAATGAATCTCGATTGGCACTCCTGTGACCCGGAAGTCTCGAACGCTTTGCCCATCATCGGAGACAGCCGGTAGCTCTGTGGCAGACATCACCGACTTTACGGGCGAGCGAGCGCCCGCCGTCAAGTTCCTTCCTAAAATGGCAACATCAGTGGACATACTAGGCGTTTCACTGTGGGATGACCCCAGACTACGGACTGGAGTGATGCAAGAACCGCGATTTTCCAGGCCGCTGCTTGGGACCTCTCTGCAAGTCCGAGTGCCGTGCCGTGACCCGGCTAAGACCCTGACTTTATCTCCAGCTTCGAAAAGTAACGGCTCCGGACTACGTGCAACTGATCGAGGAGGAATGCTTGCGCTGCTGATTCGCACGGTATCGTCGAGGTATTGCGCCATTTGATGGGACACTAGTGCCGACGAACACGCGTCCTCCGAGTGTCTTGGACCGAAGCGAACAGGATCACGAAACTCAGTCTCGAGCCCCATTGTCGCCCCTAGACATTTGCAAACTTTTTTTTCGTCGTCGCCCGAGCCGCTTGCGTTCCTCATGTCGTTCATAGTAATTCATGCGGCCACTTTTGCGGTACCCAAGAACCTCAGCCGTGAGAAGGGCGCAGCGTGATTCCTGAATGGTTCTCAAGCGTCGCTTGAGCGAATGACAGATCTAAACCTCGTATGGCAAGTCGTTCAGACCATCACGCCACAAATGCTTCCACGGAGACTTTCCACCCCATCAATCAAACAACGCTTCTCGTCCCAAAAAGGTATGCTCCCGAAAAGGGAAAGAGCTGATGCGAGGGCAGCATCGTGAACTGTGTGGATGTGCATGAGTACATTGCTGGAGACAGGTATCTAGGGGTGTATGTACAAAAGTGAGAGTACGAAAGTCAATAGGAGAATGCGAATGAAGTCTTTCGAGAAATCAAGAAGTATGTGTAGATGGGGCCAAATCGACTATTCATGAAGCAATCGCCGGCCGTGAAGGACGCTTCGACCCTTTCCCGACGGTTTCTAGCGCAGGACCGGCGGAGCTGGCGCATTGCCGGGCGTCGTCGAATGGGGTTAATGCGCGCACCGGCGATAACGACTGGACTGCGTGTGTCTTCGGGTCCGAAGAAGAGAGGAACATGTTGGTTTTCGCGGCCAGCGGGCGATGAGACAGGAGGGAGGGATCGGCCCACGAGAGATTGAAGCAATAACGTGTGATGGGGGAGGGCGTTATGGGCTGAGAGGTGGATGCGAGCGAGTCCACCGCCGTGTTGGTGGAAGCGGACGTAGAGATTCGGTCGAGGGACAGGTTGGATGTAACCCAGGATGTAGGCTTCTGTTTTCGTAGACACAGTTTCCGTCGGGAGGGTGAAATGAAGACGCTGGGGGAGTTGGAGGACGGGAGGGTTTCTTTGAAGCAATCCAGGGCCCATGCGTTCACGCGAGCGTTTTTCGATTCGGACCAGGCGACAAACTCGGGCTCGTAGCCGTCCTCCTCAGCCAAGGGCTGGCACTCGACAGAACAGTATACGGACGGGCCGTTCTGAATGCTTCTCAGAGCGCGTTCTCGCTGGTGACAACTCGGTCTCTTACCACGACAGTAGCGCACGTAGGGCATTCGTCGAGGCACCATTGTGAGGCATCCATGGCAGAGCAGAGAGAATTGGGAGGCGTTAGGACGGAGAAGCAGAAGATTAGAGGAGATCATTTATGTGCACTCGGGGGCTCCCCAATGGGCTTCTCTGATTGGGCTCTTGGCGATCTCAGGCTAGACTAGTCCCTGATGAGATGCGTCTTCCCGAGATTCACACAATCAGATCACTGAATCCGACGAGCGGGCTGTCGGTGTTCGGGAGATCCCGAGTACATCCTGGTTTCTGGGCGTAGTCCCCAGAGACCGGAAAGACACAGGCTCGCTTGCCACGCTCGGACTTGCTGTCATTGAAAAAAATGTGTCGTCCCTTCTCGGAGATCGCATGTCATGAGTTTCGGGCGGCCGTGTGACGAGAACATCCATGACTGTTCCCAATTCTCATGAGAAGTCCAGGTCAAGCAAAGCTTATCGAGGTGTGACTAAACTCGTGATGAGAAGGAACGCAGCGGAATGCACGCCTAGTGCGATATGTCGGTAAGAAAATCCTTGCCCAAGTTCCAATTGGACAATTGCCACCTATGTCACTGGTGCATGTATTCTTCAAATGTGCACAGATGACGGAAAGCGTGAGCAAAAACTAATAGTGTAAGCTGACAACCATGCCGGCATTCTGCTCTGAACATGATTGATAGTCATAGGTGGCTATGAGTATTTAAAGGAGATCGGCTCGGCTGAGATGACTACTATAGAGACTGAAAGCGAGCCTACTGGTTATCTACCTGCCTGCTTGACCAAAACACTGGATTTATTGTATTGGAGTCTCAATGATGACCGAGAGTTTTCTACTGAGTCGAATCATGCAGTTGCCTCGAATGAGTAGAGGTCGAGCGGCAGAAAATTATAAAGGGACAGACAACTCAGTCTTACTGACCCAATGATCACCCTGCTGCTGCTGTTCCATTCAACTACCCGGCATTTTCTTCGTCGGCTGACCACGCGCATTGCACGCAAAATCGGCGGATGACTTCATCCAATCTTCCGCTCTATTCACCTGCACTGACGGCCGTGCAAAACAGACGCGGGAGAAGTCTGCGATTTCTTGGCGTCTTGGCTGCACTCTCTACATCAGACCAGTCGAGATTCGGCCGTTGGGTCGAAGCGCCTTGAGTATTGCTGAGATACCAGGCGGCCGGGTCGTACTTGAATCGGGGCCCGATGGACCTGGTCATCGGGAGAGTCGGTACTGGAGGAACATCTGCTCTGTTCAGGTTGCGCGACGGCCGAACGACGTTGACAACATTAGTATGTGTTTCGCTGAATAATGGATTGACTTCCAAGTTCGCCAGACAACTACAGGTCAACATCGACATTCCCTGCTTGACCCCGAGAAAAGCAGCTGCGTTCTTTTCCAAGGGACCCACCCGAAACGCGCATCATCTCAGTCTCATTGCTACGACTCGGTGGGCCAGCCTAGACCTGTTGTCGTTCCGGTTGTAGATGATAGCTGGAGCACCAATGTTACACATTGAATCGCAAAAGAGATAGATCCCAACAGCCTGAATGCAGGTGTAGTGCTGATATATTTACGACCGTGTTTCACCTTCACGCGCTGCTCATGGCTGGGAAGGGCACACTTCCGTTTGTGCTTCCGGCGGAGCCCCAGACCAATGTGCCGACATGAGGCATCACATTGTAGCGAAGGGTATATGTTGCAGCTGCATCTCTGCAAAACATTACACATGGTTTCAGCTGTCGGACCAGTAAGATGACTTACTTGAATCCAACGAGATCCTTGAAGGGATACTTCTGTCTGCCTTCAATCTTGATATTCGCATCCTCCTTCCTACGGACAATCTTATCCCAGATGACCACAGAGTTTTGAACCTGCAGAGCATAAGTCGCAACTCCTCGAACTGGTGATTGCCACATACACCTTTGGAGTTCTTGTACTCTGCTTCAAGATAGAGGAACAATTGTTTCGTGTTCCAATTGAAAAGCGGGCTCAAGTCTTTCTTCAAGTTTAAGCACGGGGAACGGAATGCCACTAAGCGCGATCCACGCACCAGAATCAATCTCAAAATTGACGACTGCGTGCTGGGTCTGGTAGTGTTTCCCTCTCCCATGCATCCTTGTCATATGTAAGGGCACTAAGTCGTGTTTAATAGTCGAGATCGTACTCACACTTTCAGACCCTTGACAGTAACAGCTCCGCCCTGCAGTGGGGGCTGGAAGTAAGTCCCAAGCATTGAAGTGACGGTGATTATGCCCAACAGAGCCATTGCGCAGGACGAGAGAAAAGCAGAGATATTGTTCGCTCGCGTTATTATTGTGTGCATCTTGGTGTTGATAACAGGAAGGAAGGGAATGTGTGAAATCTATACGTTGACGCAGTCGGACACGTCGCGCTCGCGGGGTCGAAGATCAAATGGTCACGTGTGACAAGCGTCACTGATCCAGCTAAAGTTCTTCGAGTTTCGCGATCGACCGACTTTCTCAGACTCTCTGTAGCAGAGGTTAGACGCGCATCAGTATAATCTCTTGTAGCAGGAAGAAACAGACCAACACTTTGAGAATTTCGCACTATCAGGAAAAAGCGAGGGAAAGAGTGACCAACAACCTGTTTGTGTTGTGGTGTGGCAGTGACCGGTTTCATCGTGCCTCTTGTCAAGCGCCATGTCCTCGTCGTCGCCCATTACTCAGGTCTCCCAACATGCACCTCCCACTCACTCAAATCTCCAACCGCAGCTGCTGACAAGGCTGCTGTTGGATCTTCGAGGGCGTCGTTTCGAGGTCGACAGAGAGACTATCATGAATCTTCCTGAATCCGTTTTGTTGTGCCTCTTTCCAAACGGCCTGGTGCTGAGTCGTCAGAGCGTGGCTATGTCAGACGGCGGGGACGAAGACGATGAGGAGGTGTACGGTGTCGACGTGAGTATCTGGTCTCCGCACCTACTTGCTCGTCACTAACGCCTCTCTCTCATTTGCTGCTCGTAGTTCGACCCTGACTGCTTCCAATACGTGCTCGCATTCTTCCGAACGTCGTCGGAAGCGTTTTACGGGACCGCTACTACGCCGGGACTGCTCTCTAAACAACACCACTTGCTGGACGTCTCTCCGTCCAACTCACCCAACAGTCAAGACTTCACATCCCCCTCGCAGAATCCTCTACTTTCCAAACAAGCGATCATTGTTCTCCGTGAAGAGCTCGAGTACTTCACAATTCCACCCAAAAGCATTGGTGCTTTGACGGATTCGAACGGGCTCGCAAACGAAAGCCTGCTCACTGTCAAGCGTGATGGAGGAGCGTATCTCATGGAGAAGCGGAATATCTTCACTGCGCTGCAGAGGAATGTAAACAAGGAGAACAACGTCGCAGAACAGCACCTTATTGACATGCTTTGCATGAGGTGCGTCGTCTACTTTTTTGAAAGAAGCATTTACTGAGGCCATGGAGTGGCTTCAATCGTGATGACGAGTGGGGTTTCCGTGCCTTGGAGCCTTCACGCTCCTGTATCTCCTCCATTGCTCTCGTCCTTCTGAAGACGGGCATCAATCATGCACCGGGCAAACCTGTCGAGGTGGATTATACTCAGATGGCGACAGCACAAAAGCTGCTTCTGTTTTGGAGGAAGCCTGCAGTGGGTTCTATACTCAGGTTTCGTTCTTCTTGAGATTGACGTATGCTGTCAGCGGAAATGTTGGTGGGACGGAATCGATGTCGAGCTTCCTGCACAAGATAATCTCGCCGCCCGCTCATTCAAGCTTTGGGCACGCAGGGTATGGACCTTGGAACTCAGTCTGGTGCGTCTCCCGCAATATCTGATCAAGGTCAATGCTCAATAGCCTACAGGTTTAAGGTCCTTCTATTCGATCTCTTGCTTTGGAACTGGATACCATTATTCTGCACATACTCTTAAAGTCCATCTAGTCTGCAATTCCACATTCATTTACACGGCCACGTTCGTCCTTTGTCTTGGTCGATGTAGACACTCATAGGGAGGGATGAGCATTCGACCTCCGCGTTGCCTTGATATAAGGAATGCAATGAAAATCAGTGGTGCAAGAGACGGCCATCAATCTACGGCATTCTGCTTTAACTTTGCTTGCATCCACAGGCAACCACTGACTACCCTCCGCTTGTAGAGTTTGCTTAGCTCTCATCTCGGCTCCCTGCTGATGGCGCAGAAGCAATGCCTAGGATGACATCGACGAACGGCGACATCTTCTTTCTTATGGATAACGCTGCTGGATTCAGGCGGGCATCGCTGGTTGACTGTTGGGCCGTCTGCCCTTCGAGTTGTCGACCACATTCTCTATTCACCGTCAGGTTATCGGCATCGAACGTGCCTCAAGTCAATTGTGACGCAGGCAATCCTGACTGTTCCTCACGAAGATATCAATCGTACTCCGAAAACACGTCTCAATGACGGCATCGAAGACTTGTCGAGATCTTGGCCTGCAACAAAAAAACAGATCCCCGCCAGCCGTTGTGTTGTCCCTAACGCCATTCATGTCCGTCCTTTCGACCTTCTTTCTCGACCTGATAACGATGGGTCAGCTGGCGTCGCCGTCGACGATGCCCTTTGACCCCGGATTCAACGTGACGGCGGTCGCCAACCTCGGTCAATCGCTCGCAGCCCACTCTTGGGAGTACGGGACTACCTCTGAAGCTTTGCTCGAGCTCAACAATCCGCTTCTCTCCGTATTCGGCGCCGCGGCCTTCAATCCCCATGTCACTCCCAACTCGACGACTGTGTCCTCTTTGGCCTACGCCCTTCCGAAAATCGAGTGGGGGATTAACGGTCTCTCGAACGGAGGGGGTACGGTCGGGGATCCTGCCAGTTTGGGTACTGCTGCCGTGATGTTGAGTAAAACCAACGCGTCCATTTCGACCGCGGTGCAAAAGGAGATTGATTACCTTTTGACCGGCGCTCCTCGTTGGCCCAACGGTGCAATCTCTCAGCGAGCAGAGCTTGCCGAGCTTTGGTGAGTGCCCCTTCTTTGGGCCTTCATTCGGGTTCACCGAGCCAGACTACGCAGGGCTGACTTCATGTATATGGCTCCACCCTTCATGGCTTACTTTGCGGCGACCTCCGGTAATGCCTCTCTTCTCCAGGCCAGCTACGAGCAGTGCGGGCTGTATCGTGAAGTTCTTCTGTTTGGCTCGAATGCGACCACGTTTTCCCCGGTCAACTCATCAGCGACATCGGGTCGCTGGCATCACATTGTGGGACCTCAATCTGCGGACCTAGGTCTCTGGAGCACCGGCAATGGTTGGGCTGCAGCTGGAATGACTCGGGTGCTCGTCACCGTCATGCACGCGCCGATAGCGAATAGCACTGGATGGGCACCCGCTGCTATCAGCGACTTGACGGCCTGGATCAAGGAGATCATCGACGGCGCACGTGCATCGCCTTTGGACAATGGTCTCCTGCGGAATTATCTGGACGATACCGATTCTGCTGTTGGATTTGGCGAAACATCTGGGAGTGCACTCTTGGCCTCTGTCGTCTACCGTATGGTGATACTCGCCCCTACCGAATTTCCGGCAGCGATCTACGTCCCTTGGGCTGACGCACTCCGTTCTGTCCTGGCCAAACACGTCTCTCGGGATGGAATAGCTGCCCCAGCGGTCAATCCGTTGAGCTGGCTTGATCCCACACCTTGGATAACTGGGAGGTGTGTCAATTTGCATTCTCTTGAGCTTCTCTAACCCATCGAGACAGTCCTGAAGGTCAAAACTTCTTTGTTCTGCTGTATGCTGCTTGGAGGGATTGCATCTTTTCTGGGCTGTGCAAGCACTGAACTGATCTACGTGGACTGCTCCTTATCACACCGAGGGATTGCGAATAACAGGGCTCATAAAGAATCAATTATATTCTATATATTAGGGCATAAAAAATTAAGGGATCTGATATGTGACATATTGGGCACTCGGATCATACCCGGCACCCGATATCTGTGGTATCAGGACGTTTTTGCGCTGATATGTAACATATCAAGTAAGCTTATTTCTTGGGTCACAATATGCGGAATATAATTTATTCTTTATGGGCCGTATTATGTGTGATCCCCCGGTGTGTATTATTTATGAAACAGAGGGTCCTTATCAGATTAGATAATCAGAGGCTGTCCACGTACACCCATTTGTTTATTTATCGATGATCTAGACTAGATGCCAGTGGCTCATATCACGGGTTCCCCTGTCATCTTGACATATACTACATGCAATGTCTTCTTCCGTGGTCATTTCAGCGGACAGCGGAATCAAATGGCTCGCATTGATGTCAAGAGGTGGGTCCGCGTTCGGTCTTTGGGCACTGTATCGAGCCATTATGACGTGGGCTCGCCTCCGCATCTGTTTGTTGGTTTGAGGGGGAACAGATGAGGGGGAACAGATGAGGCGGGCAGATTGTATGCTTAAAGACCATTCATTGCCGAAGAATGGAACTTTGGGTTAGGTGCGCAGAGCGGAGTGAGCAATCGACGGCGATTCCGAGATCGACCCGAATAACTCCTGTCTCATACATAAGGCGGCCTCTTCTTCCAACTGAATCTGCTCCTCACACTTCCTTCCACTTTCCACTCAGCATTACTTCTATCTTAAATCTTCTCCCGCTTCCAGCGAGTAATTCACCCTTTGCTCCCCACAAGCCATGGTTTCTAGGCGCACGTATGCTCTCGCTCAGCCTTGCCCTTCGATTTTCGCTCATCTCTCGTCAGAATTTCGTTGCGCAAGACCATTGCCCCCGCCATAGTTCTTTTTGCTTTTGGCGGTGCTACATTCATGCTTCTAGCCCAAGAATTCCTTCCCGCATCACTTTCGCAATGGCGATCCGAGCATATGGGCGCTACTTTCACCCGCGCACGCTTCGGTGCCGGCGTTGATGGATCACACCAAAACAGCTTTGGACATGCCTACGTCGACAACGTCCAGCCGCTTCCAATACATGGGCCGCCCATTCCACCACCATTGCAGCTCGACTACGATTCCGACTCTCAGAGCCAAAAGCAACCCTATGAGTTTCCTGCCGATATCCTTCCTGTCAAGACCGATGTGGACAAGCAAGCGTATTCGTGGATTGAGCACAATCAGATCGCCATGCGCGAGCTGTTCTCGTGCATGGGTGCTGGTACTTGCAAAGAGAATCAGACGAATGGTGCGTTGTTTTCTGACACGCTCCCGCTATCGTGTTGCTCAAGTTGCGCTCCAGTTGTACTGCTTGCGTCTTACCGTTTCGAAATGCTCCTTGAGGGCCACATCGGAGGCGAGGAAATGTGGGCGCGGTCGACGGTCCTTGCGCTCAAGAACCTCGGCTACACATACCTCTACACGTACAGTCCCGACCTGTTTGGTGCGGTCGCATTCTATCGTCTTTTCCCCGACTTGGTCAAGATGGTCATCATGGAGGGCGAGGAGTCAGAAGTCTGCTTCGGCAACGAACGGTGTGTTCTCGGATATAAGAATCCTTACGGAATCCCTGCTTGGAAGATCTTTGCCTTCTCTTTCTGGACCGGTGAGGGCCATCCACTCGGTCGCAAGTGGACTTTGAGTCCTGAGCCGGTGTGTCTTGGTGACTTGCGTTGAAGCCAGGAGCACTGATCATATGAACAGTATGCTCTGGAGCATTCGTGGTACAGCAATAACACCTACCTCGGATATTCAGTCGAACCTGGATGCAAGACCGTACCCTATGTTCCTGCATCCGAGCGTCCCAAGCAGATGTACATCCTGGCGAAACATCTCAAGTACTTTGTTGCCGAGGAAAACGCTTGGCCTTTGTCTTTCTACGATGAGGTTTCTACGGAGACAGGAGCACGATTCTTGCTTGGTGCCGATGGATACGAACCGGCTGGGTTCCCGAAGAGCATCGAAAATGTTGGGTTGATGCCCAATAGCGAGTTCTATAGGGTCCTGGCCAATTCCTCACTCCTGATAGGGATAGGACTGCCTTGGACGTGAGCGATAGTTCCTTCAGATCCTACAGCACATGCTAATTATCTTCAGGTCGCCTACACCGTACGACGCATTGTGTCTCGGAGTTCCTTTCATCAATCCCATCCTCGGGGTCAGTACATCGTATGACTCACCGGTGATCGACTCTGACGCAGCTTTATAGTGGGATAAAGCTGACCCGACTAATCGCGACAAGTGGCAGACGCAACAAGGTCTGTTGAAGATGTACGATCCTCCTTACGTCTACAACGTCTTCCGGGACGATCAGGAAGGCTTCAAAAAGGCTATAAAGGATGCCCTCTCCACTCCGATAGAAAGGCAAGTCTGGTCTCGATCTGTGATACGGGGACTTGACTGCGCGCGCAGCTTTATCCTTGAACGAATGAAAATGGGAGCGATCGAAGAGCGGCTGGGCTCTATCTTATCTCATGATTGGAGGTCCGAGGGCGAAGCGGAGCTCAAGCATCGGATGGAGACCGGTGAAGGCGAGGTGCGCTCGCAGTGCTAGCTGCATCTGAGATTACTGATCTGTTTTAGTGGTTCACCGTGTAACTCGATTTCTTCGTGTTCTTTCTTGTGACGTTTCTTGGGCTTACTGTATGTGGTGTATAATTATATCATGCAACCTTGTACTATTGTTATCGCATTCGTTTATGTACCCCTTGCGCACGTTGAAGTGATCCCGTCGATGATCACAGGTTCCTTCAGAAGGTGGTCGTTCTGGCCTTACTCCAGGTCCGAGGAGCATACAGGATGAATCAAGCACCTTGCCCCACGAGTTCGACACTATTATGCAGAGCTTCCTCGATCATTCCCTCATTAATCGACACTCATCCGGCGCAAGTGAGCTGTATAAGGAAGCGTCTTGTACCCATCCGTCAGATTGCTAACTGCCCACCTCGATTCAAGTCACATTCGTCAGCAGAGGGCCATCCCACATCGGTCCATAGGTCACCTTTCACAAATTCGTTCGGAAATTATGGAAACTGCGCTACAATCGCCAGCTACTATGAAGCATCGGTCAAGTCTTGGCAGGTAATCCGAACAGGGTGCTAACTTCCCAGACTCGTTATAGCTGCACATTCTTCACCGATTGTGCGCCTAGACTGATATGTTATCGTGGTTCTGAGTAAATTATTCTGGAGTTTGCGGATGATGGGTGCTGACTATCGGTGCACATTTGATTTTGGCTTCAACTTTTGAACGATATTGGGAAAAGCTGCCAGGTCTGCGTCGGAATGAATCACGACTTTGCGGATGCCCCCGCGTGTGAACGAAGCAACGAAGTTTTCCAATGCCACGCACTCCCAAAACAAATCAGGCAACTCTGTGTGCTTGTGATATCTTATCTAATCTTGTTGGCTCAGTATCACGAGTGCTTCTGCAAATTGAATGAGGACGTCACTGAGTTTGGTGGCTCTCTTGGTCCCCGAGGGAACTTCCCCCACAAGTCACGTGCGAGCATGCGGACCGGCTGTACAATGTACATTGCACTCCCCGAGCTTCACGCAACTGACCCGATGCCGTCGTGCACTGTTAGGTCCACTAACCGTCGGCCATTGGCGGGCGCAGATATGATCCCATTGGTGGTGCAATGGTCTGCTTCCCATTCGTCAGCAAGAACGCCTGAGTCTCAGTTATTCAGGGGGTGTGAGTCCCCCCGTGTGGGGTGGTGCGGGGTATATATGTAGACAGAGGAATGAATGCATCATCATTCACTCTCCACCCATCATGCTCGATTTTCAGTCTCCCTTGCTCCTCCCAGCCCTCGCGGCTTTTCCCGCGGCTATCGCTCTCATTCATCTCGCGCTCTATGTGGCGGATCCATGGAGTATCCGCCGATACCCCGGGCCCTTCTGGGCCAAATTCACAGATGCGTGGTTGGGTCGGGTGTCCCAGCAGGGACACCGCTCCGAAGTCATACACGAGATGCATCACAAGTACGGTTAGTCCTGACTCATTTGTCGTCCTTGCGCCCCGCAAGCGCTCATCGTGCACTTGCAGGGCCTTTTGTTCGCATATCACCGTCCGAAGTATCTATTGCGGACCCGGAAGCGCTCGCTATCGTCTATGCACATGGAAACGGCGCTCTCAAGAGCGGCTTCTACGACGCTTTCGTTTCCATTGAGCGCGGGCTCTTCAACACCCGGGATCGCAAACAGCACGCCCGCAAGCGGAAAATTGTCTCACACATCTTTTCACAGAAGAGTGTCGTGGAGTTCGAGCCTCACATTCGGCTCTACGTTGACCAGCTGCTCACGCAATGGGAGCAACTATGTCAGCAAGCGGGCAAAGGGGACGCGGCGTCTGGCGCCATCGGAGAGTGCAGCTGGATCGCGCGGGAGGGCAGAGTGTGGCTCGACTGCCTGCCATGTACGTTCTTACCGGATCATGACCTTGGCTCAGGTCGGCTGACCATACCAAGGGTGCAATTTCCTCGCGTTTGACATCATCGGTGATCTGTGCGTAGGGCGCAATATACATTTCGAGGCAAGCGCTGATCTACTACCCACTAGTGCGTTCGGAGCACCATTTGGGATGATTGAGGCGGCACGAGACGCTGTGCCCGTGCCCGTCGATGGACCCGAACAAATTGACTTTGCCGACAAGCCCGAGCACGTGAAACACATTCCCGCCGTCGCTGTGTTGAATGGGCGCGGAGAGTATTCGATGTCGATGGGGGTCGTGCCCGCTTGGTGGCGGCCGATCCTGCGCAAGTTCCCATGGTACTCCAAAGGTCTCCAGGATGTCCGTTCCCTCGCCGGTATTGCAATTGTGGCCGTCGCAAAGCGGCTGTCGACGCCCACAGATCGTGTGGACTTGTTGAGCAAACTCCAGAGCGGGACGGACGACAACGGAAACCCCATGGGCCGCGCTGAACTTACAGCAGAGGCGCTAACTCTTCTGATCGCCGGTTCTGACACGACATCCAAGTAAGGGCCCTCTCGAAACTCTTTAGTCAACTGACTGATACCTGCCCAGCTCAACTTGTGCAATAATCTACTATCTTGCCAAGAATCCTGAAAAGCAGGCGAAACTCCAAGCCGAGTTGGATGAGCAATTGGGAACTGAGGACGAGCGCGTTGTGACCAGTGACCAAGCCAAAAGACTGCCATACTTGGATGCATGCATCAACGAGGCGTTGCGGCTGCATTCTACCAGTGCTCTCGGGTTGCCGCGCGTGGTACCCGATGGTTTGTGACGTCTCAACCCTGGGGATCTCGATAGCTGACAATCTGAACGTACAGAAGGGTTGATTATCCATGGGAACAGCTTCGCTCCGGGAACCGTGCTCAGTGTTCCGAGCTTCACGATTCATCGCGACCCTGCCGTTTGGGGTGATGACGTTGAAGCGTTCCGCCCGGAACGCTGGTTTGAGGAAGACAAGGCAGATATGATGCAGAAGGTATTCAACCCTTTCTCGGTTGGTCCGAGGTATGTCTATCGAGCCCCGTCAGTGAAGGACGTTTGTTCATTGGGTTGTACAGAGCTTGCGTCGGTCGCAATCTGGCATCTTTGGAGCTTCAGATGATCTGTGGCTCCATCTTGCGCAGGTTCGACTTTGTACTCCAGGATTCCTCCGCCAAGGTGTGCCATTCATTACCTCCTCACTGATGAGTGCCAACCTTGCTATCTTGCAGCTCGAGACAAGCGAAGGATTCTTGCGCAAGCCACTGTACTGCAATGTCGGAATCAAGAGACGCGATATTCTGTGAAAAGGAGGGTGACAGGCTTTGTACATCCATCTCCAGCTGTAATTCATACTCCCTCTACGCACAGTATCGAGTTCCCGGTGATAGCATCCTGCCCCTCACTCACCAAGGTTCCCGCGATAACAGTCCATCGTTGTTGTGCCTTGTCCGTGCTCAAGAGCGCAGGTTAACCAAGGAGGATGTCTACTGTGCAAACGGTCTCTAGTAGCTCCGAGGGTCGAGAGTAGACGTTGCCAAGGACTGTTGTTGCTCCATTATATTGGTTTCAGAACTAAGCAGTGGGAGTTGTGAATCAGTTTGCAGTAAGGCATGACTGAAGGAATGGGGCGCAGTGCTTAATTCCTGGAATCGTAAGTTGAAGAAGGGCATTAAGTAGGGGAAGGAATTCACGGCTTGGATGTGTGTGGTGGCCGGTCAGTTGAGGATCGACAGTCGAGACCGTTATAATCATGACTCTGAGCAGATGTGCTACCACTATCCAACCGTCCGTGGTTCGCTAGTTTAGTGGTTATAACGTTCGCTTTACACTGCGTTCGCGAAAGGTCCTCGGTTCGATCCCGGGGCGAATCAATGTTTTGTTGGTCGTGATGTGTTATGCTCACTTTCAATCCAGTCGTGATGAATTGAATTCATCCTCGATATCGTCATGCCCTAGCCCTCTCTTGGCTCATGTGCACAATGTCTGTATGCCCGAGCTCTTCCTCATTTTGAACTAGTGAGAAATACTTTTCGAACATTTATAAATCTACTTACTCGAGGGCCATCGATGGGAAAAGCTTTGATCGTAATCCAATCATGTGAGATCAAGACAAAGATTGTGGACACAGTAAGTACATCATTTCGCAGCTACATCAATGAATTAAGAAACATCAGCTCTGGTTAAAAACACAAGGTTGAGAAAACAATTCACCTGCATGTAAAAATATGATAATTCAGTTTGCATCCTAGCTCTAGCCTACAGCACGGCGAAAGAGCTGCATCTGTCGCCTGATCCGGGAAATGCAACTCTTCTATAAACAGGGAGTAGTGTGCGTCTGGAAGCAAGATGATGTTTCCATTTTGACAATATTTACGGTGCAGACCCCGTGCCATGGCACGACTATCAAATTTCGACCGCCGAGACATTGATTGGCAAAGAGAGGCCGACGGGGACGAGCTTTCTGGAGACTTTTGATCGCCTCAGGCGAGATCCAGCCCATATCCGTGGACGTTGATTTTGTGAATCCACCCTCCCCTCCCTTCTCGGCCATCACGACGACCGTCTCATCCGTATGCCGGATTTGTTGATATAAACGCCGGAGCTGAAGCCGCTTATTCCGCCCGCTAGGTAGACTGAAGGTCGCCCACCACCGGTTTTTGTCTTTGAACGAGAAAACGTGCTCGAGAGTTGGGTGTTGCATTTTTTTGAAGTGTATGGTTAGAGACTTCCTTGATAAACCAAACACTATGACAAGAGAAGACAGCACAGTTCGCCAGTTCGCGGGAGAACCAAGCCGCCAAGAAGTGTACTGTTGGGTTTTTCGAACCCTCAAAAAAATCTCGTGGGCTGCTGCAAAAACGGTTGATGTCTCCCGCGGTGACAAAAAGAGGACCTTGGGGGGGGGGGGGGCAAAGCCCGGATTGTGCCCTGGGAGAAACGTGTGCCCGGGGCTGGCCGCGCCTAGAACAGATGGTTTCTAGAGACAGCAGAACCATGGATAATTCACATGCGAGCCTCATCCGGCAAAGATGGTCGCAAGTAGGCTTCCGCAGGAAAAAGTAAATTCGCCGGATTATGCATATCGACACCGGGGTCTTGCTGCATTCAAGCGTGTTTTTTGCCAAGAAAACAAGCATCAAGTTTTAGCTTCCAAGCCGGCTTCATGAGGAGTGTTTCGCGAGCACTGAGTTTGACTGCGCGAGTTCAAGTTGAGACCTGGATGCGGGATTGTAATTTGTCAGCCGCCGAGCGATGGAGCCCAAGCACAGCCTCTGATGCTAAATTTGAGTCCCGATCGCGGCTTCAATCGAAGCGCAGATTTCCTGCCACCCTCATTTGCTACCCTCACATCCCATTACATCTCAGGGCCGCACATGCCATGGATCCCGTAGTACCACCTGCGATCACCACCGAACTGACCCAAATTCTCTCAAACCTTCTCTTGGGAGATAACGCCATTCGCTCAGAGTGTGTAGAATTCTCCTCTGTACTCCTGCAGGCACGGAGCACCTGCTCATCTACGTGATCAGTGCCGAGACTGCGGTCAATGAGCGATTGGCGCATACGCCTGAACTTTACTTGCTGGCGCTCGCGCAGTTCTCGATATCGGCGGATACGGAAGTGGTATGTAACTTTCTCGTCTGAAATCTTTCGAATGTGTGTGTCCCGGGTTGCCTGCTGCTGCGGCGCCCGGTCGACGAGGCCATTTCCGCGTGAAATCACTTCGAAGACGCGTCGTTCGCTGTGGACCTGGACATGGCACACAATGCAGCTCTAATAATATCGTTTTAGATGCGATCTTTCTCTTTGGTACTTCTACGAAGACTGCTTTTCCGACCTTCGCCAGCGCCCAACACACCAGAAAATGCGAGCGCTTCTCAGGGCCAGCAATCACAGTATCAGTCGTTACCCAATCAGCCACGACTTACATTATACGATCATCTCTCCGGACAAACGCTGAACGCGCTCGAGAAGCTCTTGCTCCATTCGCTTCAGCATGAGGCGTTTCCTCTGGTACGACGAAAGACGGTGGATACTGTGTGCGACCTGGCAAACGAGGGAATGCGACGTGGACGTCCGTGGCATGCACTGCAGATGGCCGCCTTTGGGATGGCACAGGCGGGATTGCCCGGATCCACAAGTGGGACATTAGCCCCGCAAACGTTGCCATCGGAGGCTTTGCGAGAAAGCGCGTACCGGGTGTTTTCAGGCTGCCCGAATCTTGTGATGGATCTGCAGACGGATGCCGTTCTGACTATTTTCCAGCAAGGGCTGCAGGACACGTCCAGCATTGATGTATGTTTCACCCGTGAACTGTTTTGTCGTGTCTTGTGCTGAGGAGGATCCCAGGTCAAGCAGGCTGCATTGCTGGCTTGTGTTGCTTATCTGAATGCAGCGGAGCCAGGACAGCTCGCGCAATCTGTGTCACTGATGCGACCGGTCTTGGACACGTTGCACTCGATGGCACAGATGCTCCCCACCCAAGGCTCACAAGCGACAGCCCATCCCACTCACAACTCCCGCATGTCGCGGCCGTCGTCCGATGGTCCGTCTCCCTATGTCAATCTGACGACATACTTGACGGCACTGACACCTCTGTGCACCACACATCCATCGCTTTTCGCACCCCACCTTGCCGCGCTGCTTTCGTTCTTCCCGCCACTTCTTCTGCCCAGTGCCGATCCGGGCCCGACCCCCACCGTCTCGCGACCATTCCCAAGCGACGGAAGCGCCGAAGCGTCCGAGGCGTCGCACGGCGCGTTTGTGTTTCCGCCCGCAGGATCGTCCCCGGACCCAGGCTCCCCCCGCGACGTCGGTGCGACTGAGGCGGAACGAGATCTGGATGCAGATGAGCGCCAGACCCTGCGACTGGCTGCGCTGGAGTTTATGGTGAGCCTGAGTGAGGCTCGGGCTGTGATGGTGAAGCGTGTCGAGGGGTGGGTCGGAATAATGGTGCGGGCCTGCCTTGAAGGGATGGGCGAGTTCGAAGAGGGTGATGGACTCGAGGGATGGGTTGATGAGGATGTGCGTTTGCTAGTGTGCTCCGTGTGCAGAAGCATTGTTGCTGATTCTTGTTTCAGCCGTCACTTAACTCCGCTCCGGAGACTGACTCTGCTCCGGCGATGTACGAGCAGAGTCTGGATCGACTAGCATGTGCAGTCGGGGGCAGAGCTGTTTTACCTCCGGCATTCCAGGTGAGTTACCCTGGCGCTGCCCCCAGGCTTTGCTGATGTGTGGCAGTACATTCCTTCGATGATGGCTAGCTACGACTGGAGAGTGCGACATGCAGGGCTGATGGCTGTAGCAGCCATCGCAGAAGGCACGGCTAAAGTGAGTTGCTACGAGTTCACGTGCCTCAAATCTTTACCTGGCCAGGTTATGGAGCACGAGCTTGGAAAGGTCGTTCAGCTCGTGACCCCTATGTTCCATGATCAACATCCTCGAGTTCGTTATGCAGCTTGTCAATGCGTGTAAGTGATCGTTCAGACAGATTGCGGGCTCTGGTAACCTGCATACAGCGGTCAATTGTGTACCGATCTTGAGGTAACAGGCCTTCATCCGTTTTGGTTGCCTGGCTTCACCTGCCGCAGGAAGTTATTCAGGAACAATATCACCAACAGCTGTTCTCTGTGTTGATCCCGACACTGGAAGATCCCCAGCCGAGGTCCGTGCGCTGAAAGGCTTGTGCTGGTCTTCCGACGTCTCACGCATACCCTAGAGTTCATGCTCATGCGGCCGCGGCCTTGATCAACTTTTGTGAAGGCGTCGAACGAAATGTGTTGCTACCCTATCTGGATCCGATTGTCGAGCGCCTCCTCAAGCTACTGGATGATTCGGGCTCATCCACCAAAGTGCAGCGATATGTGCAGGAGCAGGCGATCACGACGTTGGCGATGGTTGCCGACGCGAGTGAGGTTTCTTTCGGCAAGGTCTGCGCTGTTCGCCGTTTTTTGGTCGTCGCTGTCTCTGACAAGGGTTTTTAGTATTACAGCTCAATCATGCCTCTGCTCTTGAACGTCCTTCGCAATGCCGGAGGGCCTGAATACAGCAAGCTGCGAGCCAAGGCAATGGAGTGCGCAGGGCTGATAGGTACAACTCGCCAAACTCTGAAAGCTGTTGTCTTGAAAGTCCTCCAGCCATTGCTGTCGGGCCAGAGATGTTCCTGCCCGATGCGCACACGCTCGTCGATCTTCTGATCCACATCCAAAGTAAACGCGTGTGACTTGCTTGTTTCGCCCAAGGCTCACTTGCTGTGCAGAGAGCCCCGTGGATCCGACGGATGCCCAATTGGGGCACTATCTGATCGCGACATGGGCGAAGGTCTGCCAGGCCATGGGGCCCGAGTTCGAACCATACTTGCCGGTGGTGATGCCCAGCTTGCTGGCGACGGCCAGCGCAAAAGCTGACATCTCTGTCTACGGTATTGTGACTCCTTGATCATCTGATATCGACCGACCCTCTGTCCCAGAAGGCGAAGATGATCAGGTCGAAGAACGTGACGGCTGGGAGACGGTCAACATGGATGGTCAAACGTTGGGTATCCGGACGTCTGCGATTGAGGAGAAGTGTCAGGCTTTCGAGACGCTCGTGATCTATTGCTCGACATTGGGACCGCGGTTTGCCCCGTATCTTTCCCAGACGTTTGAAGTGACTCTTCCCTCCATGCGATTCTACTTCCATGAGGGAGTTCGGGAAGCTTGTGCTATGTAAGTCGGCGTGTGTCTGATTGGTTCTGCGTTCGCTGAACGCTCCGGCGATCTCGCAGGCTCATCCCGATGTTGCTTGCTAGCGGAAAAAACAGCGGGACACTCACCAATCAGATGGTCGCGGCGACGTTCTTGCAGTTGATCAACGGCATCAGTACAGAACACGACGCGTCCTTCCTGAGCTCTCTGTACAGATGCTTCACTGATTCCTTGAGGATCATCGGCGGACCTAGTGCCCTATCTCCCGAATACCAGAGTGGCGCTCTCGAAGCGACCAAGCGCCAGCTCCAAGCATTGGCCGACAAACGGCGAGCCCGGAAGGCCCGTCCCGAGGCAGATCTCGAGGAGGACAGGGAAGACATTGCCCTACTCGAGGAAATCGAGGACTTTGCTCTGGAGGACATGGCCAAGATGCTCGCCGCTTTTGATTCCAATCACCCATTGCTCGTAGCTGTGTCCAGCGTCAAGGAACTTGGATTCACTCAGTATGACGGGGACGGCGAGGACGACGAAGAATAGTTAACAGTGTAATTTATTTTACAAATTTCTACATGACGGAAATTATTCCTTCTATGAAATCTCAATGCCCGTCCCCGATACCATGGCCCGCTTGATCGCATCGCAAACGATCATAGCGCTGAGCCCGTCCTGGCCTGTGCAGCTCGGGGCGGCGCCGTTGGAGACGACGTCTACGAGATGTTGGACCTGCAGATCGAAGGGGATATTCTCCGTCTGGACATCGAGGTGCTCCTGGACCAGTTGCTTGGTCCAGTCTCCATCCGCGTCCTGGTACTTCCAGATGATCATGTCCCCGACGCTCAGGCTACCTTCAGACCCCAAGATCCGGTAAAACCCGCCGGCTGCAGCTTCCTTCTGCACCTTCGGAATCATCGGATTTTCGCCTGTCTCCGCCTCGAAGTTCCATGGCGACGGCGCGTTGTCACTGAGCACGAACGTGCCTACCGCTCCGCTGCGGAACCGGAGCAAGATCGCGGCACCCTCCTCAGCGTCGAAATCGCGCTGCTTCGGCGCCGGGAGCGCCGACACGTAGGTGATCGGCCCCATGAGATACTGGAGGAGATCGAGTTCGTGGATGAGGTTGATGAGGATGACGCCGCCGCTCTCGCCGTTCCGCCGCCACTCGCCGAGCCCGTCGAAATACGGCAGCGGCTTCTTCGTCGCCCAGATGCCCTGCACGGCCACGATGCTCCCTATCTTGTTC